CCTTAGTGGTACCCTAAGGTTCCTGGGGAGAGCCACTGTACAGTGGTAGCATGCTGAGACTTCTCCAGGAAAATGTGCCATAGGATGGAGGGGACGGGCTCTTTTCCTTCCCGGGCTTCTCTTCCCACTTGGAACTATATCCTCACCCTCCAGACCCTCCCAGGATTGAGGGGGACAACTTCCTGACTGGTACTGTAAGATCACACCCAGATCAGCTGGCTCTGGGAGGGCTAGAGGTGCCAAAATCTGTCAGGTCCAGGCCAGGCTGTTGTCACTTGTTCACTGTCCAGCTGCTAGCCAAGGATTTTGTCCCAGGCTGCAGATTCCTCTTACCCCCGCACACTCCCAGCCTAGAGCTGGCTGCCCCTTCTGAGCTGAGTCATGACATCCCAGCCCGGGGTTGGGGAGACTCATTCCTGCCCCCACCCCTAAGCCAGCATTCCAAGTCCACAGGGCAAGGGGCCTGAGAGCCATGTCAGCCTGGAAAGTTCTTCCTCTCTCTTGCACTGGGCTGTAATATAGGTGGATAACAGAGCGAAAATATGCATTTCTTCTATCCTGCCAGTTATCCAGGACTGTGAAGGACCCCTGATTTGGAAGACAGGACAGGGCCAGGAAACAAATTTGTGTCCCACTTTTGCCAGGTATTTAGATACAGAGTTCTCACTCTGTATCTCTGTCACGGGTGTCCCCCTGTCTGGGACAGGGTAAGGAAAGTGACTGTTCTGTGGAGAGGCAGGGCTATATGTAGCTGGAGCCTATACCAGGCAGTGAGCTGCACCATCCCATAACCTGTTAGGTCCTATCCTCTGTGGGACATCTCATTTTCCGGCCCCAAGCCTTAGTTTCCCCAGCTTTAACAGTGAGCCTCGGAAAGGGACGAGTAGATGTTTCCTGGCTGCAGGGCATTGACATTCCAAGAGTCTGACCTTGTGACCCCAGGACTGGGCCTCCTGCTTGGGTATCTTGTTTATTCAGAACTCAGTGGGACTGAGGCTGGTGACACAGGGACCACCGAGCACCCCTTTGAACGGCAGCTGGCTTTCTTCATTGCGTTTCTGCCCGGCCTGTTCCCCACCTCCGCTCAGTGCTAACAAAAACCCTCCATGTTTGAAACCAGTTCAATGGCAACTGTTCAGCCTGTGCATCGCCTCCTTCTCACCTTAGAGCATGGCTCTGTGCCCCTGTCATATGCACTCCTGAACTCCGTATCTCTGAAACCTGCCTCTTGGGCCCACCAACGTGCAGCCACCAAGTCCTGTTGACTCTCCGCTACGCTACACTGATCTCAAAACCATCTGTTTCAGTCAGTCCCCACCCACTGCCCTCTGCCCAGCCACGCACTGTGATGAGGGAAGGCTGCAGGGGGGTGACAGGTCCTGGAGGGGCATGCTGCCTCATGTCTGTCTCTACTTTCCTCTTGCCTTGTCTGCGTTTCTTGGCAATCTTCCAAAGCGGCTTCCACCTCAGCTTTCCTAGCTATGAAATGGGAATGATTGTTCTCTGCCTCAGAGCTGTCAGAGGATCAAGTGACCCAATCGCTCCTTTCAGCTTGTGCACAGATACATGTGCTGAGGGTGATCGCGATCCTGGGTACCCATGTTCTTCACATGTCCAATGTGGGGGGTATGTGAGAGGCAGTTACACATGAGTGCATCTCCCATGGACACATGGTAAAGTACCCAAGCGTTGATCTGTGCAGTGTTCGTGTTCACGTGTACCGGGCACTGAGTGAGCCGTGTGCACGTGTGTCTTGTGTGGGCATGCATATGGTTCGTGTCTGCGCCAGGGTTGGGCACACGCCCAAATAGCTACACATGTGTGTGCTGTGGAAGAGCGTGTGAGAGAGAGCGTAGGCAGCGGCTGGCTATGTGCATGTGTTCACCGCGTGCAGGCCTCCTTCTGGCAGCAATGCAGAGGCCCCCCCTCCCAGACTTCTTGTGTCGTGGGAGCCTCAGGACCCCGAGGGAGGAAAGCTGATGCTGGCGGATGTGGCCAAGATGGGCTAGATTTATTTAGATTAAGTTGGTGGGAAAGGAGTGGGGAATTGTGTGTGCCTGTGAGCGGGAAGGCTGAGGCTCTGAGGATGACTCCCAAGCACGGTCCCTCCCCTGGGCCTCATTCTGATCTGCTAAGAGGTGCCTCAGATCTGTTGTGAGAAGCTGAGCACAACCCCTTCTCTTCCTGACCACAGCAAGGGGATGGGATCTGGGGATTCTCTCCACTATAGGAGACTCAATCTATCCAGCAGAGAAGGTAGAGGGTGCCTGCCACTTGGTGCCCATGCTGACCTAGGTGACTCTTTTCTGGAGCACAGCTTCCTCCCTTGAAGAAAGGAAGTTGTCAGAGGCATGTCCTCAGGGCAAGTCAGGGGGCTGCCTGGTCCTTTCTGAGGCTGCTCAGAACACAGCAGCCCCAGAAGCACAAAATGTTCCATAAGGTACTGAATGGACAGCTAGGGTTTTCCAGAGCCACTGAGGCGACCAGGAGGCAATGCTGGGTGCCTGAGCCCCACTCTGATGAGGCCTCAATCTGTATGTAACTTGCTGTCCGTGCCACCCTTCTAAACCCTGAGTTCCTTTGGTGGGAAGTCACCTGAAAAGCCATCTAACTCCCAGGTGTATAGAGGAGGAAACTGGCCATTTAGACAATGTGCTCGAATTTTCACTCTAGGTCAGTGGGATGAGATGGGTCATGGATTCTCAGGTACTATGGCCTCAAAAATGTCATCTGTATTCCTGACCAGCCATTTCTTCTTCAGGTCACTGCATTGAGAATAATAGTGGCCAGAACCTTCTCTTTGATAAATCAAAAAGGTAGAACTTTCTAATAATGACAAGCTCTCTGAGATAACCATCACAGAGCTGGGCTGTTGGTGGCGCACTTCTTTAATCCCAGCACTTGGGAGTCAGAGGCAGGTGGATTTCTGAGTTCAAGGCCAGCCTGGTTTACAGAGTGAGTTCCAGGACAACCAGGGCTACACAGAGAAACCCTGTCTTAAACAAACAAACAAACAAACAAACAAAAAAGATGACCATCACAACCTTTCTGTGAATGGATATGCAAATGAGCCCAGGGCTAGCAGGAGATCCAGTCATTGTCACAGTGGCTTCAAGGGCCTGGTGAGGGGAGCTGTTCTTTTTTCAGGGAGAATCAAGCCACTCTAAGACTGCTGGCATCTTTGACTTGCATTGTCCCTCAGCTCAGTTGCCTAGTCTGTCCTCCCCATAGCTGGAACCTGTTTTATGTCTATGTGACCTGGTCACAGTTCTGGGCCTCTTTGGATCTTTTCTTCCCATTTCAGAAAGCTCCTTTCCAGTTTAGAGCCCTTGCTCTTAGTTACCCCAGCCTTACTCTCTGCAGAAGGCCTGCAAAGGAAAGATGGAGTGCCACAAAGTAGCAGGGTTGGGACTGCATGCCATGAGGTTCCAGCCTACAGGGTCAGCACAGCCTACCAGAGCCAGGCCAGCCTCCTTGCAGTGACCTCCCATCTCCTGGCCAGCAGGCCAAATTCCTCCTTTAGAATAATAAACAGTGTAGCCAGCCAGGGAGACTGGGAGGGGAGGGGAGGAAGGCTGAGTTGTGCCCTCCCCCACCCTGAGCTGCTAATGATTTTCTTTGGCCCACATCTCTGGCAGGAAGTGGGAAGCCAGAGGGGTACCCACCAAGGGGAAGATGGGCCTCTGTGGGGTCTGTTGGTTCTGCCTGGGTACCCAATGCTCTCTATGTTGCCCAAGGAGGCCTGTTGTCCAGCTGAGGGGGGCCAGCACCAGAGGGATGTGAGGGGGAGAACTGAGCAGGGGGCATCAGGAAGGTTTTGACCAGCAATAATTCTGAGAGGGGAGACTCAGGGCCACAGAGGGGTCCCTCAGGCAGGCTATCTGAATTGGAGGAAAGGAGGAAAAGCAGGTTTGCGCAGCTCGCTTCTTAGGGTGTTGAACAGAGCTGGGCTGGGCCTTGTCTGGGTCTCATGCCCTCCCTGGTGGTGTAGTCATCAGCTCCTCTCTGGCCAGGGGCTCTGCCCACAGACATGGCCCTGATGGCGACAGAGCCCATGAGAGCTGACTCCTCAGCCCTGGGTAGGAAACCAGAAAGGGTGACATGGTGGAGGGGATGGGCTGCCCTACCATCTCAGGATGCTCCTTGCCGCCTGCCACGTGATTGCCTCCTATGTTTCTTGATCTGTGACTCTGACGAAACCTGGTGATTGGTGATGGTTTAGAGTCTGAGGAATGGCTGTCGCTGCTCCAGCACTGTTTCACAAATGCCCTCTTTGTCGTCCTCTGCCCCCACCATTCAGCCGTCTTCTTCTTGAACAGGCTCTGTTAGGAACCCCAGGTAAATGTCTTTGTTTCTCAGAGCCTCAGTTTCCCTATATGGACATTGAAGGTGGAGATGGGAAGCTTGGCTTCAGTGGTCTCCAAGGACCTTCAAAGGCTGATAAATTAGATAAGGCTGTGAACCTGGTCCCTCTCTCCTGGGCCTCCTGCACAGCTCTGTGCTGAGTAGGGGGGCCAGCCCACTCCCACATTCCATAGTCCTGACCCCCTCCCCACTTCCCTTCCCACAGACGTCCCATTTCCTGTTGTACTTGTGGAGGGAGCTGTGGGAGTTCTCCAGGCTCTGGCTCACCCCCTCCTACTCCTCCAGGCCTTTCATCACGCTTTCCCAAATATTTGTCCTGGCAGATAAGTGCCTGGTATTGGAACTGTCACTCGGAGGACTGAGCTGTCAGAGCTGGCAGGCCCTCTATCTAGCCCAATTTCCCCACTTCCACTGTAATATACAGGGAAACCGAGGCCCACAGGCAAAGGACTCAACCAAGTCCATATGGGAATTGGCAACAAAGAGGAGAGGGCTTGGGAAGCTAGATGTCTTTCCAGCCTTGAGACAGAAGGTTGGATGCTCAGGCAAAGCTGACTCTTTAGGAATCAGGTCTAAGGTGGGCCCTGGCACTGCCTTTGCTCACACTGGACCCTGATCCCTGTCTTACTCTACAGGGCACCATGGGGCTTCCACATGTGATGCCAGCTTCAGTCCTCAAAGGTAAGCAAACTGGGGACAAGGGTGAGGACTCCAGGGATGCTCTAGGGAGCTGGCATTGGTGGTGCTTGGTAGCATGAGAATGAGTCCAGAAGCTCCACTGTTCTCTTGAGCCTCAGTTTCCCTGTATTAGAAGGTCTATGGAGACCTCCTTCAACTGCCCACGTATTAGCTTTTTATTTGTTTAGATCTCCTCAGTGACTACCTCCTTGTCCAGAACCACCAGCTCAAGTTCCTTGCTTATCCCTCTGCACCCACAGCACCCGCTGAGACACCCCAGTCTTCTATCCCTCTTCAGTCCAGCTGAATACCTGCCTTCAGCTCTCGAAGGTCTGGGCAAATGCCCAAGCAACCAGGGAATATGAGGGTGTGGCTTATAAAATTCTCCTTGTGAACACAGGTGTATGGTGCTTCCTCCAATCTTTCCCCCAGAAGCTATCATGGGGAAGGCACCAGTCATTTGACACATTTCTTAATCCTCCCCACCCCTGACTGCCAAGCCCCCAAAGGTCTCAGCATCCCACTAACCGTAATCTGCCCCAACTCTAAGCTATAGAGACTTCCTTTCCTATGGCCACCTGTGGGCTCCAAAGGAACCTGAGCAGCTACAGAGAGGAGGCCCAGGGAGTGACCTGGAAGGCAATGCAGGAACTGAAGGTCTGGGGATTACTTCCACCGGATTTCCTGCCCCTTTCTCCTGCATGCTGCCTGCACATAGCATAGCTGGAGTGCTTAGAGGCTGGACTCAGTGAGGCAGGAGTCCTAGAGAGCCTGAATGTGGTCAAGCAAGCAGGCTGTGTTGATTGGGAAGATGTGTTCTTTAAGGACTTGGGTGCTATGCAGAGAGGTTTCCAGGACAACTCTGGGGAAGGAGTTAATGTTTCTGCCCTAATGTGTGACCCTTCCTGCCCCAAAGGCCAGTTGTTGCTGTCCGTGCTGCTGCTGCTGGGACCACAGACCCCCCAAGGCCTAGTCATCATGCCCCCTGGGCCAGAGTTCATTCTCAACATCTCCAGCACCTTCGTTCTGACCTGCTCAGGCTCAGCTCCAGTGATGTGGGAACAGATGTCCCAGGTGCCCTGGCAAGAAGCGGCCATGAATCAGGATGGCACCTTCTCCAGCGTGCTGACACTCACTAACGTCACTGGGGGAGACACCGGAGAATACTTCTGTGCCTACAACAACTCCCTAGGGCCAGAGCTCAGCGAGCGGAAGCGTATCTACATCTTTGTGCCAGGTAAGGGCACGAGCCTGTGTGCCTGCTCCCTCACTGTCCTCTCCACAGCACGGAGTACAAAAGGGAGCCTGAAGAGTACCTCATGACTCTTCAGCTGTGTGACACAGGAAAAGAACAGCATCCAGCCTGGCTCAGCGCAGGAGCATTCTCCTCCCCACCCACTGTCTGCTCTCTCCCAGACATCTCTGCTCTTGCCCTTCAAGAATTCTCATTTTCAGCTGGTTTCAACCTGTCCATTTTGGCTCCCATATCCTACTGCCCTGTTCTTTGAGCTCCGGGTACAGCTACTCTTTAGCTTAAGACTCTTCACCCCCTCACCCCAACGCCAGCCCTGTCAACATCAAAAGAGCAGGAAATGGCCAATGAGAATATCTTCTTTAGTCCCATTGTGCTACTATAACAGAAGGCCCAGGACTATTTCTAATGAACCGAATTGATCGGCACACAGTTCTGGAGGCAGGGACTAGCATCGGCAGGGGCCCCTCAAGATCTGGGGCCCCTCAGATCTTGATATTCAGCATCCCGCAAGAATATTTTCTTTCTTTCTTTCTTCTATTTTTCTCTTCTTCCTCTTCCTAAACTGGGGGGGGGGGCCGGTCTCACACGTCACCCCGGTTGGTATGGAACTCACTGTGTAATCCAGGTTGACCTCAAACTCATAGAAATCCACTGCCTCTGCCTCCGCCTCCTGAGTGCTAAGATTTAAAGGTGTGTGGTGTCACACTCAGCATCTTTTTCTTTATTTTTGAGGTAATGTCTAGTTCTTATGAGGCCAAAGATGTACTTGAACCTCTGACTCTCCTACTTCTACCTCTACCCTTGAACCTCTGACCCTCCTACCTCTACCACCTGAGTGCATTTTTGCACCTCTTTCATGAATGCAAGGCAAGCAATCTACCAATTGAGCTGCATTTCTAGACCCAGCAAAATCCTTCTTGCTACTTTATACCATGGAAAAGGCAGAAGGGCAAGAGAGAGCAAGAAGAGCAGAAAGGGCTGAACTTAACCTTTTGTAATTGTACCAGTCTATGATGCCTTCCTGAGTTATCGCCCCTGCCTCCACTTTTTCTTTTTGGCACTGGGGATTGAACCCAGGTTCTTGTGTGTAATAGGCGAGGACTTTCCCAGGCCTCTCTATTCTTATCATTTAAAATTTTTATTTATATGTGTATGAATGTATTGTGTGTGTGTGTTGTATGTGTGTGTATGTGCTCTCGCACACATGCACCAGCCACACAAAGGCCAGAAGTTGGTGCTGGATTCCCTGGAGCTGGAATTACAGGTGGTTGTAAACTACCTGATGTAGGTGTTAGGAAACAAATTCAAATTCTCTGGAAGAGTAGTAAGTTCTCTTAACCCTGGAGCCATCTCTCCAGCTCCTACTGTTCCTGTTTTTTGTTTGTTTGTTTGTTTGTTTGTTTGTTTGTTTGTTTGCTTTTTGGTTTTGGTGGCTATGGCTGGCTTTGAATTTGCTGTGTAGCTTTGGCAGGCCTCACATCTGTAGTCCTTTAACCTTTAATATCAGCTGCATAAGTAGCTGAGATCACAGGCCTTCACCACCAGTTCTGGCTGACAGTTATTCCTTAAAAATCCTACCTGTAAATATTGTTAAAGTGGCAATTATATTTCGATGCAGTTTGGCGGGGACCAATGTCAGAAGTATAGCAGCATCTTTATTCTGTATTGAGGTAACTGCGGGCCAGAAGCACGAAGAGACTGCTCAAAGTCAAACAGCAACTAACTCACCACTGTCCTGGCTGTGACTAAACACCATGACCTGACCAAAAGCAATTTGGGAAGGGAATAGCCTATAGTCCACTGGGAAGAGAAGTGAGGGTAGGAACCTGGAGGCAGGAACTGAAGCAGAGACCATGGAGGAATGCTGCTTATTAGCTTGCTCCTCATGACTTGCTTAGCCTATTTTCTTATAGAACCCAAGACTACCTGCCCAGGAGGGCCACCACCCACAGTGGGCTGGGCCTTCCCATGTCAATCATTAATCAAGAAAATGCCCCACCGACTTGCCTACAGGCAATCTGATGAAGGCATTCTCCCAGTTGAGTTTCCCTCTTCCTAGATGACTCTAGCTTATGTCAAGTTGATAGAAAAACAAAAACCAAAACCAAAACCTAACCAGGATGTTTTATTTCTTGGCTCTATTCCTGACAGATCCTACCATGGGCTTCCTCCCTATGGACTCTGAGGACCTATTCATTTTTGTTACGGATGTAAGTGAGACGACAATTCCATGCCGAGTGACAGACCCCCAGCTGGAGGTGACACTGCATGAGAAGAAAGTGGACATCCCTCTGCATGTACCCTATGACCACCAGCGAGGTTTCACCGGCACTTTTGAGGACAAGACTTACATCTGCAAAACCACCATTGGGGACAGGGAAGTGGACTCTGATACCTACTATGTATACAGCCTCCAGGGTGAGCCCCCCTCCTTCTTACCCTGCAGAAAAGAATAGCCCCTCTGTTTACTAAGCTCCACATCTCATTGGATTCTCCTGTAGTTTTGGGAGGGACCTAGATAGTGTTCTCTCCATTTTATGTCCAAGGAAACAAAGGCTCAGGGAAAGGATGGAGCTGGTCCACAGTCATAGTGCACTAAGGGCTGGTCTGGGCTGCATAAGGTAGGGACAAAAGCACAGGCTTGGAGCCAGCTGGGTTGGATCCCAGCTTGGCCACTTCCCATCTGGAATACTTCGCACATGTGCCTGATTCCACCTCCCCCCCCCCATAAGATAAGAACGGTGAGGACCTCTTTCCTCATGAGATTTTGGGGAAGGTAAATTAAAGAGATGAAGGTGCCTAGCGTGTGAAAGGTGCTGGGTAAATTTCTTCACCCTTGGATTCCTAGAGGATTTTGGCTTCTAGAAGGCTCTCTCACTGTCAGCTCCGGGAAGATAGAGATTCTGTCAGTGATGTTTCCTCCTCTAGCCCCAGTGTCTAGCATAGTGTTTGTGTATGGTAGCAGCTTAATTATTATTGGCCGAATCAATGAATGGATCTTTCACAACTGCCAACCTTTCCTTGTGGCCGGCTCCCATTCCCCAAGCCTAGTGCTGGTGGCTGTTGATGACCTCCTTGGCCCTAATCCAGTCTCTCCACCCCACTCCAGTGTCATCCATCAATGTCTCTGTGAACGCAGCCCAGACAGTGGTCCGCCAGGGTGAGAACATCACCATCAATTGCATTGTGATGGGAAATGATGTGGTCAACTTCCAGTGGACATACCCCCGCATGAAGGTAATACTTGGTAAGGGTTGGAAGGCCAGAGCGGACTTGGTGGCTCACACTGACTTCTGATTTGGGCACTTGTCCTTGCAGAGCGGGCGGCTGGTGGAGCCAGTGACGGACTACCTCTTTGGAGTGCCCTCCCGCATTGGCTCCATCCTGCAAATCCCCACTGCTGAGCTGAGCGACTCGGGGACCTATACTTGCAATGTGTCGGTGAGCGTGAATGACCATGGAGATGAGAAGGCCATCAACATCACTGTGGTCGGTGGGTGCCTTGGGCTCAGCCCTCTACCCCACCCTGAGCTGGACCAGACTCTGGGCACAGACCTGGGATCTGCTTCAGTATTATAAGAATGAAGTCTAGCATCCGTCACAGATTTAGCTCTAAGCCCAACCTCGACTTCCCACTTAGCCAGCAAGACTCCTAGTTCATTTTCAAGCCCTCAGTGGAGGCCTTGGCAACCCCACTGCCAGAGTCAACCTCTGCACTAGTTTGAAGTTCCAGGGTGTAGAATATAGATCCAGAACAGAAAGCTACAACTCCAGTCCCAACTACAGCACTGACTCTAATGCCATCAGCACCAAATTCCATCCCTACTCCCATCCCAGCCAAAGCTTGCACTGCAGAAGTCCTGCCCCTAGATTCCAGCAGCCCTTAGAAGGACCTTAAACAGATAAGCGCCTGGTGCAGGCCTCCAGGAACGCTCCCCAGTGATGGGCCGGGTGAACACCCCCATTGGTGTCTACACATAGCCCCGCCCACAGGGCCCGCCCCTGACTGTTTTACCTTCACAGAGAAAGGCTATGTGCGGCTGCTGGGAACACTGGGCGATGTACAAATTGCCGAGCAGCATCGGAGCCGGACGTTGCAGGTGGTGTTTGAGGCTTATCCGCCGCCCACTGTCCAGTGGTTCAAGGACAACCGTACCTTGGGTGATCCCAGCGCTGGCGAGATGGTTCTGTCCACTCGCAACGTGTCTGAGACCCGGTGAGCGCCAGCTAGTCCACTTGTTTTGGAAGCTTCAAGGCAGGGTCTTCAGATGCTAACAAAGCTAGGATCGCCTTGTCTGAGAGTCTGCTGTGTGCTATGTGCATGTCAGGTACTCAGGATGCTGCAGGACCAGAACAGGCCACTCTGCCCCTCCTTGTGGGGGAAGCAGACACTAGTGGGCTGGCCTCTTAGAGGTTTAGTTAGAGGCTGGATGGGAAGGTATCCCTGAGGCTAGAGATCAGCAGACAGGCAAGACTGTGCCCCTCTGAAGAGGATAAGCTGCAGAGAGATGGATACAGACCCTGGTCCACCCCAAGCCTTCCTTGTAGCCTGTGGCTGAGGATTCAGGAGACTGGCTCTGCTGCCATCATCTATTCGACCTTGGAGAGGGTGTCCCTTCCCTCTGCAGTCTACAGGAAGGTGGGGACGTGTTAGGGGTTCCAGCAGTTCTGATCTGGCCTGGCCTGCTCCATAGGTACGTGTCAGAACTGACCTTGGTACGTGTGAAGGTGGCAGAGGCTGGCTACTATACTATGCGGGCCTATAATAAGGACGAAGCGGCCCAACTCTCATTCAAGCTGCAGGTCAATGGTAAGAACCATCTCCCTTTCTCTCTCTCCTCCTCCTCCCTCCCTCCTCAGCCCCTCTTCCTTCCTTCTCTGCCCATCCACCCACAGGAGAAGCTGGAGAAAGGACCTGGAACCAAGGAGGCTCTATTTTAGACAGCTGATCTGTCAGGTCCCCTCTCTGAGCCTCAGTTTCCCTAGCTGCAACAGAAGACCATCAGATTATACCGGTGTTCTCCCAAACCTGGGCCATTTATGTACCAATGGCAAAACTTTGTTTCTCACATACCGTTCATACTTTGCTGAGTAATTTCATTATAGCAATCTGTTCAGAGTTCTACCTTTTGTGATTTGCATGCTAGTGGGGGAAGACAAATAACAAAGGGGGAAATCCCATCAAAAACAAAAAGGGTTAGAAGGTAACAAGTAACTTTAGGGAGGTGGGGAAGGAGGAAGAGAGGCAGAAGACAGATGATAGACAAATTCATCAATAGACGAGAGAGCATGGCATATCACGTGGTGAGGGTTGTAGTTTTCAATATAGTGATCAGGGTTGGCCTAATTCTGGAGGTGGCATCTGTGAAGAGACTTGAAGAAGGGGAGTGTTAGAAATCGTGAGGGATGAGAGTTACACGACGGGTTCACAAATCACACCCCAAGACCGGTTCCACGTGGGAGGTTTATTAGGGGAAGGGGCTGCAGAGACCGTCTCTGAATGAAGCAGGAGAGAGAGAGAGAGAGAGAGAGAGGAGGAGGTTCGAGTTCTCTTATAAGGTGACCCAGAGCATGCGCAGGTGGTTCCAGGTGACCAGTGGGTGGCCTTCTAGGTGGTCTCACAGATGCCAGATATGGTTCATCAGGTCCCTTGGGGTTGGCCGTAGAGATGCCTGCTTACGGATCCCAACAGGGAGGGCGGTAGACAAGTGGATATTTGGGGAAAGGGCTCTCCAGATCATGCATCTCCCTTGCCACAATGCCGGAGAAACAGCAGGAAATTGAGCATAGCCAGAACAGAGGGCCCTGGCGTATAAGGAGGGGCATGAGGTCAGGGCAGAAATGGAGAAAGGATGGAGGGGAAGAGAGTAGCTGGGTAAGTAAGTGCTTGTGGGGTTGGTCTGGACAGCTTTGGCTTCTATTGTGCCTGAAATGAAGAGCCATGACAGGGACTATGGAGCATAGAAACGACATAATAACGACTTAATGTTTTGTCAATTATCTTTCTAAAAATAAATTTATTTTGAAAGACAAATTTAGCATCTCAATTGTAGATGGAAACTCAGTGTCATATGCCACAAATATAAACCAACCAGTAAAATAAATTCAGAGGAAACAACAATGCTGTTAAAATCTAGCTTTATGGGCCTGGCTATCCAGGGCCCTGGGGCCTGTTCTCTCTTTGTTAATGGAAGAACAAGTCTCAGAGTGATGTTAAGGACAGACTCTGAGCCTTGCCCTTTGATGTACCCTAAAGGAATCTGTCACTTTCACTCTGTGACTCCTGGCTGTTCACCTGCAGCCCCCTGCCTGGTGGGGGATGGGGCGGGGGAGGAGTGGAGAGTGTGTGTGGGGTCTGGATGACAGAGCATGTCTTTCTGAGAGCCTTTCCTGTTCGTCTGTTCTGATCACCCCACTTCCTGACCCTATACTCTTGTCTGTTCAGTTCCAGTCCGTGTGCTGGAGCTGAGTGAGAGCCACCCTGCCAATGGGGAGCAGACGATCCGCTGCCGCGGCCGGGGCATGCCTCAGCCGAATGTCACTTGGTCTACCTGCAGAGACATCAAAAGGTGAGCTTGCCCTGAGCCCCAGCCTCCTGCAGCTCTTCTCTCTTTGTTAAGGAAAGAACAAGTCTCAGAGTGATGTTAAAGAATGCCTACAGCTGCCCAGAATGATCAGTGTCCGGTAATCTAGGCCGGCCTAAGAGGTCCAGGCCACATCTTACAGCAGTCCTCTGCCTTCCTGGAGACACTGTGTCTAACCTAAATTGCTCCTTTTCTTATGTTGATCTTGAGCCCTCCTCAGCCTGAAAGGTGCGGGCTCTGGCCCAAAGAGGTGTTTAATTCACCAAGTAGATGTTCTATACCCTGGACAAGAGCTGAGTCTAGGTTAGTAGATGGAGACAGTCTGTCTCTACCTCTGACACAATGGGTAACCTAAAGGGGCCAATGAGTGAATTTTGCCTTTTAGGAGTCTCAGTTCTGGAGCCTGAGCGCCCCCTGCTGGTCCATCTACACAACACCCTAGGAATCCACTTAAGGACCAGTCATAGAAATTAAGCGTGTGTTCCTTCTGCCACTATTCAATGATAAGATCTGCTTTGGGCCTTGGCGTCCCCATCTGCAGAGGGGAAATTAAGAGAGGCTGCAAAGCCAATCCCTTTGTGTCTCCTGGCAGGTGTCCACGGAAGCTGTCACCTATACCCTTGGGGAATAGTTCCAAGGAGGAGAGCCAGCTGGAAACTAATGTGACTTTCTGGGAGGAAGAGCAGGAATATGAGGTGGTGAGCACACTGCGCCTGCGTCACGTGGATCAGCCGCTGTCAGTACGCTGCATGCTGCAGAACTCGATGGGCAGAGACTCGCAGGAGGTGACCGTAGTGCCACACTGTGAGTGCCCCAGCCGTGGGTGGCTCTGATGACCTCTCACCCCTTCCTTGATTCCACTGTACTGAACCTGAATTCCCAAATCGGGTCAAATCAGCATGTTCACAAACCCACGGAAACATCACAAAATCCACACGAGTACGTTTCTGTGCACGCACACAAAATAGGACGTGGACACAGGTGCACAAGTCTGTACACCACAAACCTGAAAAGCATTGACTCTCAGTTGTAGGAAATGAAACTGGCGTGCATGATGCATGGTGCAAACTTGCAGAAGTAGGTTGATCCTGGGACTCAGGTGTACTGTCTTCATGTGCACGTTTGTGATCCGTGCTAGGATGTTTAATCTCCAGGGTACATGCATGTTAGCGTGCACTCAGGCAAGCACTGTTCAGGCAAGTGCTGTTCATGTATGCAAAGCTGCAGAATATATCTTTGTAAGCTGTGTGTGTGAGCCTGCCCAAATCTAAGACTTGTGTGTAAATCCACAAAACGAACGTCTACGTGCATGCACATGTGGGACCACAATCCCCATACATGTATTTAAGCCATACATGAACGATTCCCATGCATGTATGGAAACTGGTGTTGTGAGGATCAGTAATCACATAATCATAACGTATGAAAGCACTGAGCACAACTCTGTATACACACAACTCCAGACAATGTGTGAACCTTAGCAGGCACACACACACACACGTACAATTATTGCACGTATGAATGGTGCTTGCCAGGGTCCAGATGTGTAGGAGTAGGTTGATCCTGGGACTCTCTCAGGAGAGTCATCGCTGCCTGCACCTGTGTGTGCGTGCTTCATCATTTACCACTTACCGTCATCACTCAGTAAGTTATGGGCACCCAAACTCACTAGGGCATAGAGGCCAATGGGCCAGTCCAGGGGAAGGATGCAGAGCAGGAAGTAAATGGGCCCACAAAGGACAGCACTTCCGGGAATATCCCTGAGAAAGAAGAGGTCCCATGCCAACTGTGGGGTTGAGGAAGTATCCCAGAGAAAAAGAAGCTTCATACATCAAATACTGAAAGATGACTAGGTGTTAGTTAGCCTGTGAGAGGTGGGGTTGCAGCTAAGGAGGCCAGTGGGGCCTCCTGGAGGCAGAGTGGGTCCTGAGAAGTTAGAGGAAATCATCCTGGCTGCAGGGCAGACTGTATGTGAATTTAGGGCAGGAGAAGCATGGGAAAAGAAGTAGTGAGGAATGGGGCCACGAGACAAAAGTCAGAGCAAGCAGAGCCTCAAAGACAATTTTTTATACATGCAGACACACACACACACACACACACGTAGACAGAGACAGAGTGACAGAGAGAGACACAGACACACAGACATGCACAGAGAGAAACAGACAGACAGGCTCACAGACACACACAGACCCACAAACACACAGAGACACACGGAGACACACAGGCTTCCATGGGCTTGGACATGTCTATCTCTGTACATGCCAGTCACCTGTCCTTAGAAGAAGGTTAAACTGTTAAAACATCCCTATCGGGGCTGGAGAGATGCTCTCAAGTGTACTTGATGCTCTTCCAAAAGACCTGAGTTTCGTTCCTAGCACCATGTCAGGTGGCTTATAATCACCTGTAGCCCCCATGGACTACTGTCTTCTTCTGGCCCCCATCAGCATCCATACACATGGCATTCAGCCATCCAATGCACACATACACTAAACATTCAATGAATATTCAAAAACAAAATTAAATGCTCTTATTTCTCCCACACTCTCCCACATACACACATATCTCTGAGCGAGTGGGCAGAGCATAGCAGAGAGTGCACAGCCTGAGCAAATGCAGAAGTAAAGTCCTTGTGTGATTCTTGGACAGGACACCACGTACTATGACACAGAGGCCAGGGATGATGCTGATGAGTCCCTGGAGGGCACAGGCTCCCTTTGCAAGACCAGGATGTGGGGCTGTTGGGAAGAGAGAGCAGAAATGTCAGTCAGTGACCCCAAGAAGGAAAGGGTGTGGGGTGAGCCAGAGAAGGCTCCCTGGGGAACAGAGAATGACAGGAAGGGGACATAGGAAGAAGCAAATTCCCAGAAGACAACAGCTGTTGCTAAGCGGGAAACAGCCGGGCCTAGGGGTTAATGAGTAGCAGCGAGGCTAAAGGCCTGGGCTAGAGAGGACACAGGTCTCAAGGGGCCTAGGTAGACCTGTGTGCTCACCTCAGAGCTTTGGGGGGGGCACACTCCATGATGGCGCCACCGCACACACTAGCGGTCTCCAGGGTGGGGCTCGGAGGAGCAGACTCCTGTCGTCAGGCTGCTGAAGTTCAGAATCAGCTCCTTCAGGCAGTCACTCCGTGAGTGCCTCAGCTGTTTGGTTAGAAATGGACCTTAAATCTTATGACCAGGGCATGGAGGTCTAGAGGACGTGCCTTGCTCCTCAAGGTGCCTGATGCTCTGAGAGGCACTAGCAATGTTATGAAGAGGACTTTCAAGGCCTGTTGGGATGATGCATAAGCCAGCCTGAGCCTGGCTATTGTCTGAGACCAGAGTCACAGGGGGTGGGGGGGAGCACTGGGGTTGATAGGAAAGGCCGGAGTGTGGGCCCTGAGACCAGCTATCTAGGCAGTAAGGGCTTTTGTACTAGGCAGAGTAGGCCCAGGGAGATCTGTAACACCCACGGCAAGATGGGAGAGCAGCCCAGCTACTGTTTGCTTATAACCTGCCTGCTCTGGTCTTTGTCCTCAGCCTTGCCCTTCAAAGTGGTGGTGATCTCAGCCATCCTGGCCTTGGTGGTCCTCACCGTCATTTCTCTCATCATCCTCATCATGCTGTGGCAGAAGGTGAGCCTGCGGGTGCAGCGCCGTGCCCATCTTTCCTCGTGGTCCCCACTGAATGTCACACGCTCTGGCCCATACGAAGGGCCCACCATGGCGCTCAGCTGGGGGCTGACTTAGAGCAACACTGCATCTCCAGTTCCCTCCACCCCCAGCAGGCTGGGCTGACGTGGCCTGGTGTGAGCAGTCCAGGACTCCTGGCCCCTGCCCTTTCCTCTGCCTAAGTCCTTCCTGCTCAACCCAGTCCTGGGGCAAGCGACACTTTGTGGGTGGACTATCCTGGCCCCAGGATTCTTCTAGCTCTTACCCATAGAGACTTCCATGAGTCACCAGAATGTAATCTGACCCCATGAATCTGTTCCATCGCTCTATTCTGACATTTCCCCTTTCTGCAGCTCTAAACGGTCAAGATTCCTGAATCGGGTCTTTAGTCCCCCTTCATCATGCCATTATAAGATTCCAATCCTATGACTCCAAGATCCTAAGATTTCCCCATCCAAAGGCTTTTGAGGTCCCACAGAGTCGGCAAGAGGAGGGGCAACCCACATTTGACATTTGTCCTACCTCGCGTCGCTTTCTGGGTAACCTGCTCTTCTCATCTGAGGAGTAGCTGGGGCTCAGAAGCCGGCGAAACATTTGTAGTGAGTGAGGACCATTCTGTCAGCTGCTTTCCAGAGGCTGTATCCTCAGGGTAGCTCAGCCACGTCTCCCACTTCTGGAGCCCCTTGCATCTAAGCTCATGGAGACCTTGGTTTTGCTGGCCATTCATTGTCATTTCAGATATGTCCTTGCCCTCTCTTGGTCTCAGAGTCTTCTGTCCCATCTGCCATCTAAGGGGCTGGACCTGACAGCCTCAAGATGCCCTCCAACCTTCTCATCTGTGGTTGGTCTTGTCCCGCAGAAACCACGCTATGAGATCCGATGGAAGGTGATTGAGTCTGTGAGCTCTGATGGTCATGAATACATCTACGTGGACCCTATGCAGTTGCCTTATGACTCCACCTGGGAGCTGCCACGGGACCAGCTAGTTCTAGGTCAGTCCTAAGAGGTCTCAGGTGGCAAAGGGGAGGCTAAGATTTGCTCCCAGCATGGCTGGTACTAGCTGAGACATAGGGCTGATATCTTGCCTTCTCTGGCTCTCACTATCCTTTCTATACTGTGAAGACAAGGTGACCCCTGATAGCACTGTAGCCCAAGGATCCCAGGACTAATATGGGACCCTCCAGGCCAAAGAGGAAGTACTGAAGATAGGCCAGGGAGTCTGAGGCAGGTGCAAAAGAGCTGTACTCCCCTCCCCCCAGGAGGCAGGATATCTTTCAGGGATCCCAGGGGAAGCAGGCAGAATATAGGATCTAGATGAGACCCAGAGGATAGAAAGCTTCCTGAGGGGGAGCACAGTACGGAGTTTGGAGGGATGTGGAGGGTGATCTGAGTGGGAAGATGGGATGAGGGACATCGCTCCCAGGAGCTGAAGGTTTCTATCCATCCTAGGGCGCACTCTTGGCTCTGGGGCTTTCGGACAGGTGGTGGAGGCCACGGCTCATGGTCTGAGCCATTCACAGGCCACCATGAAGGTGGCTGTCAAGATGCTGAAATGTGAGTCTTGAAACATGAGCTAGTCTCCTCTTTCCTCACACCTGGGGCCTCCTCACTCTACCTTCCCCTCCCCTGTAAAGCTAATTTCTTCAGAAGAGGCCAGGTCCTGAATTTGTGGGACTCCTCGCTATGAGTAGGGCTCCTCACTATGACCTCTTTTTGATGCTTCCTTCTTCTCTCCCCTCCTCCCACCTTCTTTCCCTTCTATTATGGTCCTCACTACCCAAGGACACTACAACAGGGTGGGACAGAGGAACAAGAGTAGGCCCTTGTAGGGCCTCTATACCAGGCTGAGTCCCTCTTCCCCCTCAGCTACAGCCAGAAGCAGTGAGAAGCAAGCCCTCATGTCGGAGTTGAAGATCATGAGTCACCTGGGACCCCACTTGAACGTGGTCAACCTGCTGGGGGCCTGTACCAAAGGAGGTACCCAACCATGCCCTGGAGGACTCTGGGAATCCCCTCTTCCCTGTTCTCACTCAGTCCACCACCTACAGGACACCCCTGCCAGAGTGTCCAGCACTCTTATTTCACTGTCCTAGACGAGTTTTAGGAACTCAGAATCTGAATACCTTTATGGCAATGAGATTCTTTCAGGCCACTGGTTCCAGCAGCTTTAGAATTCAAGTCTCTTCAGACGTGTTTGTTTGTTTGTTTGTTGTTTGTTTTTTGCCTGTATGTCTGAGCTCTGTGTGTGTGCCTGATAACTGAGGAGGCCAGGAGAGGGCATCAGCTCTTCTGGAACTGGAGTTGCAGAGGGTTGTGAGCCACTGTGTAGGTGCTGGGTATTGAGCCAGGATTGTCTGCAAGAGCAGCAAGTGCTCCTAACTGCTGACCGTCTCTCCAACCTCCATTTTTCATATTTCAAAAACTGTGAGACACTGACAAGGTCTACAGAGACAGCAGAGCCTACCAGTGCGCAAGCCAGGAACTGGTTTTGCTCACATCAGTGCTGAAAGGCACTCTGCCCAACCATGCTTATTTGAGGGACTGGTTACCCGTTGGGCAGCCAACATAGTAATAATCGTGAAGTCACTGCTACTTGCAGCTGCTGGTTGTGAGATGTGGGATTTTCCTCGGTATTGTGTAATCAGTCTAAATACAGAAGTATTGCACATGGACTGTCATCCGTGCCTGCAACGAACGTATTTCAAAAGTGTTGTTTTCATCTGTTGGATGATTTTAAATGAGTTGAACTTAAGTGTAATCAGCAAACTGTGCCAGCAGTCATGTTCGCCTGCTTTATGTAGATCAGAATCTGACATAAGCACCAGTCTGAAAACAGTAGCAGCAACTGATAGCATAGGCCTGCTATAGGCTGAGCTCTCAAAGACATCTCAGGGGTCTTCACATCAACCCCAAGGGTGGGTCAGCCCCTGGCCAGATAGGCAGAGGACGGCCCCGGGATACTAGCAGCTTGCTTGCTATCACAGAGGCAGAGAAGCAGCCCAGGTTTGCACGGTGCCAGCCCTCTCTGCCATCTTGCTATCTGTGTCTCCAAACCCCAGACTATATTGGCTCTGTGGTCATGCTGGGAAAATGGCGGCCTTCCGCAGAGTCCGCCCTGAACCTGTCCTTCTGCAGGGCCCATCTACATCATCACAGAATACTGCCGCTACGGTGACCTGGTGGACTACCTGCACCGCAACAAGCACACCTTCTTGCAACGCCACTCCAACAAACACTGCCCACCCAGTGCCGAGCTCTACAGCAATGCCCTGCCGGTGGGGCTCTCTCTACCCAGGTACGAGGGAGGCGGCACCCAGCGGGTGCCTGCCAAGCATACGGGTGCTCCTTGTCCAAGAGCCCGAGATGAGGATGCAAGCTTTGGGGCAGATTCATTTCCTAGAAGCAGCTCTGTGACCAGACAGTAATGATGATGATGGGGGGGGGGGGGCATTATCAGCTGTCACTTCTGCGTCATCTCAGAGAGTCAAGCTTCATCCTAAGCCTTCTGCAGATATGACTCCTTTGAGCCCATGTACCATCCTTGTATCATAGGTGTCTTACTCTCTTGCCTTAGGGACATAAGGCACAGAGGCAGTGACTGGCTGAGAGACAGGCTCCGAGCCTGTGCTGAGGTGTTACAAACTGGGCTCCCTGCCGTGGCTCTGCTGCCCTCCACAAGCCAGCCTCCCTAGTACCTTACCGGCAACTCAACTCCTGTTTCTGATGCTATCAAAAAGAACATTTATTGTTTTGTTTTGCCATTGTTTGTTGATTTAAAAAGGCAAAGACAAGGTTAGGTTTGGAAAAGTGTACACAAAAGATAAACAAAAGCATCCCTCACCTCTCTAACAGTGTGACGAGTTCCTTGTATGTGTTTGTTTAGTTCTTTTACTCCCTGGGGAGCTAAGGCTAGACTCTGCACCTCCCAGCCCCCCTAGGCATAGAAAGGAGCCTCTCTACAGATCCATTCATGCCCCTCGTCCTGGCTGCTGTAGTCACTGCTCTGTGAACTCTGAGAACACCTGCTGGGTCTTATGTCGTCCTGGCAGCCCCTGGGCCCAGCTCAGGGCTGCTCAGCTTTGATAGGGTTTGAAAGGGTTTGAGTCACAGTCATTCACACTGTATTGGGGCAGACCAAAGGATGATGGTTCAGGAACAGAGGAAATCCACAGATGACAGGGCCCCACAGGCCTGGGCTGAGCAACAGACAGAAGCGGGAGGGAAGAGAAACCCATGGCTTTTCCTTATTCCACCTTTCTGCCTACAGCCACTTGTCCCCGACTGGGGAGAGTGACGGTGGCTACATGGACATGAGCAAGGATGAATCTGTAGATTACGTGCCTATGCTGGACATGAAAGGAGACATCAAATACGCAGACATCGAGTCCTCCAACTACATGGCCCCTTACGATAACTATGTCCCGTCTGGTAAGTGGATACAGCATTCTCACATGTGTGCAGGCTCCTCCCATCCACACAGTGATGCCTTCCTTTCAAAGCCCTTAATGTACTCAGTTTTGTAACAACCTTGGAAGGAAGATAGCTCATGTCATCCATGTGGAAACAGGCAAACTGCCTGCCCAATGCTGCTGTGCAGTGGAGTTCTGACCTGAGCTCTGTTGCTGTCTCCAGAAGCATTCCCACAGCCAAAAAGAAGGGGAGAGCTGGGTGAAGGTGGTCTTCTAGGGCCTTCAGGGAGTTAGATCTGCTCTGAGTTGACCCCATGATGGGCTAATAATGTCCTGAGAAACAAGCAAGCAAGCTAGAAGCTCCAGGCCTAAAGCCAAAGGTTTTTCTTGCTTGTGAGTACAATGAAAGCATTAGAGATTTCAATGAGACACTTAGAAACTCATTCCCTTAAGGGAACGCTTAGAGAATCGGTAGTCTAAAGACGGGTCTTGTAGGCTTATGGTATACACAAAGTAACCCATAATCCTCTGTGCTCTCTAGCCCCTGAAAGGACCTATCGGGCCACCCTGATCAATGAGTCACCAGTGCTTAGCTATACAGACCTCGTGGGCTTCAGCTACCAGGTGGCCAATGGCATGGAATTCTTGGCCTCTAAGAACGTACGTGTGGTCCTGATGGTGGGAGAGGGGTCAGCTAGCCAACCATCCACCTTCATGGCCCTATGAGACAGCTCCCGACTCTCTGGTGGGGAGGGCATTGAGAAACCTCACACCTGGGAAGGCACACGTTTTCCCTAAAGCTGGCCCAGAGGGCTCTTCTCCCACAGTTGCCCCTTAGCCTCATCTCCCCTCTCTCCTGACCCAGTGTGTTCACCGGGACCTGGCAGCCAGGAATGTGCTCATCTGTGAGGGCAAGCTGGTCAAGATCTGTGACTTCGGCCTGGCTCGAGACATCATGAGGGACTCGAACTATATCTCCAAAGGCAGTGTGAGTGCTTACACTGTCCCTGGGGTTGTCCCCAGGTGACTCCATCCCCAGTTCAGGTCTGCCACCATCCATGTGGCCACAGCTCAGTATGGGGTCACTGGTGGCTTATTACTACCAGCAGAGATGGCCATACTGCCCAGCTATGAGCAGGGACAGGACAAGGAGCCACCTAGATTTGTGCATAGTGAGAAGAGATGGGGACAGGGTCAAGGCCACTTGTCACAGTAGGTGCTGAGTCAGGACCAGCTACAGTGGTCCTGAGGTGAATAGGAAGCAGGGATAGATCGCCATTCTAGGAGATGAAAGGTGGGCAAAGGGGTAGCGCAGGTGATATGGTAAGACAGATAAGTCAAAGCCCGGGGGTAGAAGGGCTGTAGACCCCAGAGACCATGTCCCTGGCTGCCCACTTCTCTGCACAGCACCCCCTCGGAGCTTCCCCAGGGACACAGGCTGCCCTGTCTCTGGCTAGTGAATTAGGAAACAGCTTCCCAGTGCTCCGGCCAGGAATGTGCTTAGAGCTTTGGAGTGGGGTAAAATGGAATTGCTGTGGGAGCTGCTGAGCCTCTCCCTTCCAGGTGTGGTGAGGCCTAGAGACCAGCCGCTGGGACCCTCCATGTACTCAGAGCCCATCTTACCTCTGCAGACTTTCCTGCCTCTGAAGTGGATGGCCCCGGAGAGTATCTTCAACAGCCTCTACACCACCTTGAGTGACGTGTGGTCCTTTGGGATTCTGCTCTGGGAGATCTTCACACTGGGTGAGTCACTTCTTCCTCCAGCCCTGAGATATACACTGGAACAACTGCCCTCCTGCCCCCACCTCCCTCCTGATTGCACCTTGGGCCAGAAGCAGGGGACTGTGGGATGCACATTGGAATATGAGTCAGGACTCAGGGGCAAATCCAGGCAGTGCCATTCTTTCTATTGTATGGCTTTGACAAGTTCTTTGCCAAGTCCTCTGGGTCTTTTTCTTCCTGTCTGAGCACCAAAGGGGTTAGACATATTGAAAAGTGTGCTTGAAGCCAGCTGTAATGGTGTATACCTGTAATCCCAGAACTTGGGAGGCAGGAAGATGGAAAATCTGGGGCCAGCCTGAGCTACATGTAGACTCCTCCAACAAAGAACATGAACACAAATACAAAGCCTGCTTGGGTTTGCTTACTTCTCTATTTCCATCTCTGTGTGGAGTCTATTGTCCAATGCCAAGGGAATTGCATTCTCATATCCACCAGGACAGTATGCCTGAGAGGACACCCTGCCACTTCTCACACCCTGACACAGTATGTCCCTGTCTCTGCTCCATGACAGGTGGTACCCCTTACCCAGAGCTGCCCATGAACGACCAGTTCTACAATGCCATCAAGAGGGGCTACCGCATGGCCCAGCCTGCTCATGCCTCTGACGAGATGTGAGTGGAACCTTGTACACTTGGGAGGAATTTGAGGTTTCAGAGGTCACGAAACACCAGGTCAGAGGTTAGGCGAGTCCTGCTAGAACGGGACCAAGGTGTTCAAAATGGTGCCGTCGGGAAGTTCTGTCCCAGCCTGGGTCTCCACTTTCTCTATTCTGGCTTCAAGTTCAAGCCTGCCCTGCTCACGTGGCCACCATTAGCACCACCCTGACATCTTACTGCTTGCATTACTCCAACAAAAGACCCAGAGCTGACCTTTTAAGGGCTCAGCTTGGTTACATGCCATCAGAACCAAGCCTGAGCTAGGAGGATGGAAATCCCCATTGGCCAAATTCAGGTTACAGTGCTCACCATGATGTCTTAGGCCGCACAGAATCATGGGGATGAGGGAAGCTGGGGAGACTTCCCAGGAGATCAGGGAGGGGCAGTGATGGGGTCAACAAGACCCCAGGCTGCTGCTCCACACCAGGGTCTTTTCCTCACCTTATTCTGAGCCCCACCTCACAGCCCTGCCTCTGCAGCAATGGAAGACTCTGACCCTCTCTCTGCCTCCCTCAGCTACGAGATCATGCAGAGATGCTGGGAAGAAAAGTTTGAGACCCGGCCCCCCTTCTCCCAGCTAGTGGTGCTCCTGGAGAGGCTCCTGGGTGAGGGGTACAAAAAGGTATGTGGAGACAAGGCACGGTGGAAGTACCCTGTGTACTCGGCTTGGTGTGATGTGCAGGTATTTGGGAAGAAATACCCTTCACACACTCTGGGCCTCAGTTCCTCTGCTGGTACTAGAAAGGTACCAGCAGAAAGGGTTGTGCCAGAGCTATGAACTTATTTTTAGTAGAACCAAGATATGAAACCTGATTGATTTGACCCAGAGAGGTGTGGTGGATGATCTTATCTGTCAAACCTGCTCATGGTGACACCGGGCCTCCTTCAGATGTGTGAGCAAACCCAGACTCCCCTGAGCCCTCACAGCAACTATGTAAACCTTGTCCGGGGTTCATGCAAAACCAATGGAGGAGCGAGTCTGTCCTGAGCTTGGCTTCTTGTCTTCCCATCTGGGGTGGTCCTGGGGAGATCAAGACAGAGTGGAGTCACCTCTGTTTCATAGCAAGGGACACTGACCTCCATCCCCAATAGGAGGCTGTGGGAGACTACAAAGGGATAAGAACCCATAACTATCTACTCTGAAATGGGGTAGACATTAGGGTCATGGTACTGCCTGGCTACCTGCTGACTCTCAGTTTGTACCTTGTTTCAGGATGCCAGGTGTGAGGGCAGCTCACAGGTGCAGCTTTGAGCAGAAGCCATTTTTCTGAGCACTAGATGGGGTAGAGGATCTCTAAGACATTGTCCATCTATCTCACACCCCGTTTTTTTCCCCCTTCGTTCCCTATCCTCCGGAGCAGAAGTACCAGCAGGTAGATGAGGAGTTTCTGAGGAGTGGCCATCCAGCCATCCTGAGGTCCCAAGCCCGCTTGCCAAGGATCCACAGCCTCCGGTCCCCCCTGGACACCAGCTCTGTTCTCTACACCGCCGTGCAGCCCAATGAGAGTGACAATGACTACATCATCCCCTTGCCAGACCCCAAGCCTGATGCTGCTGATGAGGGCCTCCTAGAGGGTTCCCCCAGCCTTGCCAGGTACCCCCGACCCGTTGGCCCCAGGCACTCATGTGGATGGTGCATGTGTTCATGTGTGTGTGCCAGACGTGCTACAGAAAAACCATCAGCTAGCTAGAGTGAGGACTAAGTCTTGCCAGTGGCCAGCAGAGGCTGAAGTCAATATATTCGGCCCTTGAAGCTGCAGGCAGGAAGGGCAGACTGGGAAGAAACAAGATGTTCGGGAACTCATTTGCAGGATAGCTCTTCCTTTTAAGGATGTCAACACAGGCCCTTCTGTAGGGCCTGTGCTAGTCCTGAGGACAAAGAAGACACATTTAGCATTTTCCAGCCGTTACTGTGGGTCATGGCTGCCCTTGACACCGTGCCCAGAGGGCCCCAAGGAAGCCTGGTTGTAGGAGATGGAGGTGCTGCAGATTCAGTTTAAACCTCAGACAGAAGAAGAGACACATGCTCTGCCTTGGGTTGTGGGAGAATCCACTGTGGGGTGGGCCCTGGGGGAGCCCTGTTGCTTCTTGTACTGATGTTCGGCCTAAGAGAGGACTCTCCAAACCAAGATTTAGCCCATGGAGGAGCAGTAGGAGACACAGGGCTGGGTTCTGTTTTCAGCCTGTCACTAAGAAACTCGGACAGGTTTTCTTGCCTGTGCAAGCTTCAGTTTCTCTGTTCCTGCAGTGCTCGCAGGCCTTTTGGGGCCCTGAAGGCCGCATTGGCTCAGTTAATGAGGCAGACATTCTCAGGCAGGTGTGGGAGATGTTGGGATGGGGGAGGGGGGAGTGGAATCAGTGTTAGACTGAGCAGGTTCAACTCAAGAGCAGCCTCCTTCTGATTTGTGACCTCAGACTGGATGCTTCACCTCCACGAGCCTCAATTTCCTTCTCTGTAAGGTGGAAACAGTGAAAGGCCCTAGAGAAGGAATGAGATATCTCCCCAAACACAAAGATGTACAAAGTACATTTAGTACAAAGTACCTGCAAGTGGGATGAGAAAGAAACTTGAGAGCCTGATGGTCCTGCTCTCAAGTTCTAGCTCCCATATTCACTTGCTGTGTGTTGTGGAGTGATGATATAACTAACCCTTCTGAACTGCGCTTCCCTCAAAGTGCAGGCCTCTCAGTATGTAAGGTCAACATGGGAAAGCTCTTAGACAAGGCTGTTACTGTCATCCTGGGGTTTCCCCAGTTCCTTTCTGACTTGCTTCTTTCCTCTAGCTCCACCTTGAATGAAGTCAACACTTCCTCTACCATCTCCTGCGACAGCCCCCTGGATCTCCAAGAAGAGCCACAGGCAGAGCCGGAAGCAGAGCTGGAGCAGCCACAGGATTCAGGCTGCCCAGGACCTGTGGCTGAAACAGAGGACAGCTTCCTGTAGGGACTGGTTCCACTCCATCCTTCCCGAAACTCCCAGCACCCACCCCCTCCTGGCCTGATCTGGCCTCCCAGCAACTGCACTGCCACCAGCTGTCCCCTTGGAGAAGACCCTTGGTTTGCAGCACCCAAGGTCCAGGGACCAGCTTAGCTTAGGAGGCTAAAGAACTGTGGGGACTGACCTGCCTCTGGAAGGCCATGGGACTCTGAGCCAAGGCACTCAGTTTCCCCAGATTAAGAGGAAGGGTTGGACTTGGCTATTGGACAGGTACGGAGCCTTGATTCCTAGAGAAGTTCATGGGTGGAAGGTCATGTTCACGTTCTCCTGTGTAACAATTGCCCCTCAGATGAATCAACTACTTTGATCTTCCCCAAAACCAGGCAAGGACCTGGTGCCCGGCTCCTGGCTAAACTGAGGCCAGCTTTGGACAAGGTTGTTTCATTCAGAATCCATTTCCCTTTGCCTTAATTCTCCCAGGCCTGAGCTGCTCGGGGCTAGCCATGCTCAATGAATGCTGTTAATGGAGCAGGTGAGCTGAGAACAGGATGCTCTGGCCTGCAGCGCTGCCCAGGGCACTCAGGACACACCCGGTCACAGGAAGCACCAGTGCCTTTCAGTCCCACCAGTCCAGTCACTCTCAGTTCGCCCACCCCTCAACAGTCTGCAGGCCATTGTCCACACCTGTGGTATAAGCCTGAAGTGTGCACCACTAGGAGCCCTGACTCTGCCTTGGACCTGCTATGAGACCTTAGAGGACCCCCTTGTTCTCTCTGGTTACCAGTTTTCTTTCCCCTTTGAAAGATCAGCAGGTTGGACTCATGGACTCTGAGTATAATCCAGTCAAATACTTCAGTTCTGGAGTGAGTATTCCAGGAGTTTACACTTGTCCGGACAAAGCAGGGTCAAGTCCTTAAGCTGACCTTTCTGGGGGTCAGCTGAGCCCTCAGAAGGTTCCAGATACACACCACCCTCTGGGGATTCAGGAACTGAGCCTCTTCTTCAAGTCCCCAAGTGCAACTGCCCAGACCTTGACTCGGAGTGACAGTCAGTGTCCTAGGAAAAACCCCTGCAGCTGTCCTGAGGACACGGAAGGAGCACGAGGCCCTTTTCATACCGTGATAAACTCTGGAGCCAGCGAGAGCGGCAGAGAAGGCAAGCCAGGTCACCTCAGGCCACCGTCACCAGGAGTGAGGACAGATGTGCCCCATGCAGGACAAGGACCTTGAGATAGGCATGAGAGGCAGACACTGAGGGCACGGCCTTCTCAACTGCAGGCTGCTAGTCCTCGGTCCTCAGGCAGCACTACACAGGAATGTTTTTGCCCCACACCTGGCAGCAACACCTCACTATCCCTGAGCAGATGGACATTGGAGGGGCCTGGGGAACGATGGGTGGGCTAGAACAAGGTAGGGGAAGTCAGCCCTGCTGGGCCGCTGCCATGCCTGGAGCAGCAAAGGCTGCTGGAGGCTGGGTAGTACTGCTCACAACGGTACCAAAGATGTAATCGCCTAGGTTTACAAGTACTTGTAGGACTCACGATAACCCACATTTAAACACCGGAAGTGCTATTTTGTACGCTAAGTTTTCCTATCTGTACTTTTTTTTTTTTTTTTTTTAAGGAAAAGATTTTAATATTAAACTTGGTGCTTCTCACTGAAAGACTCAAGTCTTAGGATTGGGTGTCTGCGTATCCAAGAGTGGGAAGACAGTTTGTCCCAGACAGGTTCCTTCAGCTCTCTCACTTAACTTTAAAACAAGTTCCATTCCCTCCCATCCTGGAAAGTAGATGGGAGGGAGCTTGTGCTTGGGTTCCAGATGTGAAGTGAGGCTTTTCTGACTGTAGACTCTGGAAGGGGAGAATGGGCCTTGGTGGGCCTTGCCTGCCTCACCATGTGCTCTGGCTTTGGCCACTAAGCTGAGTCACCCTCCCTGCCCCACTTCTTGCTCCTCACTTGAGCCAGGGTAGCTTGTGAAGAGGTGCCTAGCACAGCTTGAATCCTAAGTCCTTGAGAGTCGCCACTGGGACCCAGGTAGGAGCAGGGCAAACAGAACACCCAGGATGGCCAGAGAGCAAAAGAAAGAAAGAAAGAAAGGAGAAAGAGTGGAGGTGAGAGGAGGAGGGGCAGAAGGCAGTATGGAACAACAGGGAGCAATGGAAGGGTGCAGACCCAGCTTGTTCCACCATCCCAGAGACTGTGGAGTCAGCATGAGGTAAGAAGTATCCTGGCTCCTGCTGGGTCCTGGATTTAGGCTCCTCTGCTGAGCCCAGACCTATGGCATGCTGGTCTGTGACACTGACAGTGGCTCAGAACCAGGAACATTAGAGCTTCTGAGACAGGTCAGAGGGAAAGGGTTGCAATGCAGGCTGGGGGCTCTGGACCCTCCCACCGCAGCTGTTTGGCCCGGTCACAAAGATAGAACCAGGTTTCAACCTGAGGCCTGTCACCTCCTTGGTGTACGTCTTTGGGCCTTCCCTTGCTTTATTTGAGCCGAGGGGCGGGCATCTCTGGATGTGTGTGAAGGACATCTCAGTTTGGAGCTTCAGGCTGTGGCTCCCAGTGTGAGTAAGAGTGAGTTATGGGATAGCACTGACTCACAGGCAGGCCTCTGACTCAGGCAGCTGAGACATCCCAGGGAAAAAATCACCTGACTAGAGGACCTAGCCACATACTGTTACCTCTCACTAATCCTGGCTTTAGGGGACACCTCAAGCCTGTGGCATCCTTCTCTCTGGCTATGGCAGGCATGGAATGAGGCAATATCTCAGTGTGCCCTGCAAAGAACAAAGCTTAGATTCCAGACAGGACTTTCTGTGTTCTTGATTACCTATTTGGTTTTTTGAGACATGGTTTCTTTGTGTGGCCCTGGTTGTGGTGGAACTAGCTCTGTAGACCAGGATGGGCTCGAACTCACGGGGTCTTCCTGCCTCTGCTTCTCAGGTGTTGGTATTAAAGGTGTGTGCCACCATACCTGGCAAAAAATGTATTTTAAAGATGATGACAATGATGATTGGTTTTTCAAGACAGGGTTTCTCTGTGTAGCCTTGGCTGTCCTGGACTTGCTTTGTAAACCAGGCTGGCCTTGCTCTCACAGAGATCTACCTGCCTCTGCCTCCCTGAGTGCTGGGATTAGTTATGAGCCACAGTGCCTGGTTTAAAGATTAAAAGTGTGTACGTCTGTGTACCACTTGCATGCAATACTCATAAAGGCCAGAAGAGGACATCATGTTCTACTGTAACTAGCTTAGTGGACTCTCCTGAGTTGGTCTGTGAATGCTGGGAACCAAAACTGAGTGTTGCGAAAGAGCAGAAATTCTCTCTCTCTCTCTCCCCTTCCCCCAAATTTATTTACTGCTGCATCCTTACAAGGCTCCTAGGATTGACCTAACTAAGAGTAGCAAGGAAATGAAGAAAAGACAGATGACACACAGAAATAGCTGGGACTGGGTGGTCTGGGCTGATTTCAGTAGGGGCCTCTGTAGGGAACTGTCAGGCAGTAAACTTCCACGGAAGGAATGGTGGACGTTTTCTGCACACATGTTCAGTCCGCACAGGGACTAGAGGAAGGCTCTGCCATTCTTACGGATCTCAGGCTACTGGATCCTTACATGGCTGTGCTCATATTCATAAACACCCAGGTCCTCATACACTCAGGACTTCCTCTGCTCTGCACAACTTAACTCTTTGATTTTCTGTGTATGGTTGTTTTGCTTGCATGTGAGTGCAGTGCCTGCAGAGGCCAGAAGAGGGCGTCAGATCCCTGGCCCTGAAGTTACAGATGGCTGTGAGTCACCACGTGGGTGCATAGAATTGAGCTCAGGTATTCTGCAAGAGCAGCTAGTGTTCTTAACCGTTCGCTCCAGGCCCATACAGCCAAATTTTAAAGATTAAAGTCGTTTTTCTTTTCATAGTTTACTGCAAGAGATTAAGACGTGTTTTTATCCCTAGCTGTGGTTTGTCAGCTGTGTTTATAATGTTCTTTGTGGTATTCTTAGGAAAGGAGTACAGTTCTGCCTACAGTTCCTGTGCAGGGCAGTTAGTTTCTAGTCAGTATGCAGAAACTCCTGACTCAGGCAGCAGGAGGTCAAGTGCATGGGGGATGGGAAGAGGCGAGGGGGGGGGATGGAGGGGAGACTGTTCCTTGTCTACTCTTAATCTTTTCTCGTGTCTCATTAGGGTTGGGTAAAAATAATGAAAAATAATTTAGAGACTGGCTTGAACCGCCCAGGCTGTTTGGGCTCCTGCCTCTCAGCCTCTCCACACGGGGAAAATAAGTGAGCTGGAATTTTCCTCCAGACAAATGAGCCACTTGGACCATTCAGTTCTTCCACCACTGCCCTCTCAGCCTGGGGTCCTTTTTCCCGGAAAAAGAGGAAAATACTGAAGAACGCTGTTGCGGTGGGGCCTGCATGTCTGGGTTCCCGCCCTGTCAACACCAGTTCTCTGCACTAGGGCCCTGTTCACATAAGGCCTCTTTTATCTCAGTGTGTTGCTTAGGTTTGTCTCAATTGATTCATTTTGTAAAAAGTTTTTTAAGTTTATAATTGTTACAGAGTTTACACCCCCAAAATCAAACCTATATGTGTTTTCATGGCTTAAACTCTGCTAACATTTTAAACACTCTATTTAGCTACTCGGTGGGTAGGAAATTATCTGAATAAAAATTCTCTCTTTCTCACTGAAAGTTTAGTTACATTTATCTAGGATTTCTCATTCTTTGTATTTATGCTAACATTTTTGCTTTATATATAATTAAGTTATAATCATTTTTTTAAACTACCATTAGCATTTTGCACCATTTTTTTTTCTTTACAGTATTTTAATACTCATAGGAGAACTACAGTCATAAATTCACCCATCCTGAGAGCTGCCTGTGATTTGAAGTACTCCTGGGCCATCATGTAGCTACCGATAGATAGTTACATTGTTTCCAATTTCCTAGTTATACACTGTGCTGCAAACAACCATGACTTGAAACACACTTATGTTTACACATTTGGTGTTTGTTTCCATAGGATACATTTCCAGCTAGAATTCCTGAGTCAAGAGGATAATTATTTAACAATGTAGGCGAGGGAGGGGAGGCACACACCCAGAATCTCAGAACTCAGGAAGTGGAGGCAGGAGGCTCATCATAGCAAGACCATGTCTCTCTCTGTCTCTGACTCTGTCTCTCTGTCTGTCTGTCTCTCTCTGGTTACTGGCCTTAGACATGGTAGCTCACAACTGTAATCCCAGCACTTAGGAGGTGGAGGCAGGAGGATAACCAATTCTAGACCAGTCTGGGCTTCGTAGAGAGCTGCAGAAAAAAAAAAAAAAAAAAAAAGGTACTGGAATCTGAAATCCGTGCTCCTAATACCCCGACCCTATACATAGGGTCTCATGTATCCCAGGCTGGCCTCAAACTTGCAACATAACTGAAAATGACCCTGAGCTTTTGATCTTCCTGCCCCATGAACCACCACAACCCCGCTGAAAGTTCCCTTTATAACACACAAAGGTAGAATTAGAGTAACGGCTCTATAGTTAAGAGTTCTTGTTGCTCTTCTGGAGGACCCAGGTTTGGCTCCCAGCACTCACGCGGTGGCCCACAGCCATGAAGACCTCCAGTTCCAGGTGATCCAACACCCTCTTTTGGCACCCACAGGGCACGGCAATGCAAGTAGTGCACAGACACGCACACAGGCAAAACACCTATCCATGTAAAATAAAAATAAACCTTAAAAAAAGTTAAAATGCACAGCGTCCTAATGTCTCTGGGAAGCTGAAACAAACAAACAAAAAACAAAAAAACAACAAGAATATGAGGAGGACAATACTGGATTCTGGCAAAAGTCTGAAACCTGTCATGTTTACTGTAAACAGTCATAAGCCAGCAGGGAAAGAGGTCAAGAGTGAATGGTAACACGGTCTCACTGAAGGAAGCCCCAGGGTTCTTGATGAGGCAGATGGTCCCATGGTGCATCTGATGCTCCACAGGTTGGGACAGGTCCCAGGGTTTCATGTGCTAATGTTCTCGGGACTACTCCCATCCTCACTGTGAGCAGAGGAGGGAAGCCAAGGAAAGAAAAGACTGGCTCAGATGAAGAAGTGGAACCTTAGAGCTCTGAGTGGGTTGCCCAGTGTCCTTGTCATTTCATTGCCTTCCCGGCTCAGGCCAGACCCTGGACTCCTCAAAGACAGTGAGTGGAGCCTAAGGTTCTGGTGCTGGCTGCCTGCTGGGGTGGGGCTTCTCTGTGTGACCAGGTTGCCAGCCCACTGTGGGCTATGGGGCTGTGTCTCAGAATTCAGAGTATAACTTCCTGGGCTGCTACTGAGCCTGGTAAGGAGTCCTTGCTCACAGCAGATGGAAGCCATACAATCTTCCAATATCATTTCCCTATCTTGTGTCCGGTGGCAGCAGGTCTGCGTCCCCAGCTCCTGTGTCCATCTGAGGGCCTGTCGTTTTTCTCGCAGGCATGGAGCAGGCTGCCCTTGCTAGTTCTCCGGACCCTAGTTTTGAAGCTCCACAGTCTTTGGGGTTGGGTTTTGTGGGCAGTCACTACAAAACATCAGAAAAGTCATACACAGGGAAGTAACGACACTTGTGGAAAAATCCTAGGTTTATCATGGTTTATGCCCTGCACATATGCTAGAGGGA